ATATTATTCTTATCGAGCGCATTCATTAACTCGGCGAAGGTTACACGATAGATATGAGCAGATGTAATTGACTACGCGGATAAGTTAGCGCGCTGTTAAAACAACTCGTGAAACCGCACCAGCGATTCATCGATCGAATCAATTAACGGCGAACACGAATCCGTTCGCAAAGTGCCGTCAACATTGTTGCGCCTCCCATATTATATCGTTTGAATATATCGTTTGTGCCTCGCCGGAGTCGGTCTCTCTCGTACGAGATAGTATATCTCTTATACGCGAATATCGAAGACTCACCGTAGAAATATTAAGACATTCGTTATAATGTAACGGTTGTTATTTTTATTTACGATGTGCACTTTGTCTCTAATATTGCAATTATGTCTATCGTTATCCCGAAAGAGAGGGAGCCTCGGAAATGCGTGTTGGTAGGAGCGACTGCTCCTTTTCCTTCGTAGACTGCTACATTTCTTCGTCGTTTTCGTCGTCGATCATAGGTCGTCGCTCGTCGGTAGGCCGCAGCCGAACCTTTTGCCGTAGTAAATGGCGCCGTACCTTTTTTACTTATTACCACCAATCTGTTACATTCGGACAATTTTCAGCACGCACGTAGGATGCGTACTCATCAGAGAAACCTTCTTCTTTCTATCTTTCTTTCTTTTCCCTCTCTCCTTCTTTCCTTTCCTTTTCTACGCTTAAGACGGACACGAAGATCGTTATGAGGTGTTCCTTTGTTTCGTGAGAAATGATTTAAAAAATTGCTCGCGTGCATCGCGATATTCTCTACTTCGACTGAATGCGCCATAATAGCAGGTGTGATGTGACCGGAAGAAAAAGTCGGAGCGGCGGAATACAGTTCTCAAATTTGCCATCCTTACTCGCGAGCCGCGAGCGGATCGTTACGCAGAAATCGGCGTTACCGAGCTACGTTGACGCAATAATATATTGCACGTACAATGTAGCGTGCAATCAGTTATATCATTTTGTCCGATTTTCTTCAACGCGCTTAAAATATATTAATTAATCATGTTGTTATGAGTTTCACCGGTATATTCTTCGCTGTATAACCTTCGCGTTATTACGGACTGTCGGTACGTAACACTCATCCGATTTCCCTTTGATAACGTTTCGACATTGCACATTGAATTTCAAGCTCTAATTATTCGTGATAGTAATCTAACGAATTTTACTACAATACTGAACCTTTCTCTCCTCTCAAGAGGCCGATGCGATAATTCAATTCGAAGCCTCAACAATCGTGCGATCGAGTGTACCATGCGCCACGTTTGGTACGCGAGTGTTTTAAGAGAAAGGTTCTCGTGTGCGCGCTGAGAAGATGGTTAACGGTAGCAATAAAATATCCGATCGGACTTTCGGTGCGACTGCGTGAGGTGAAGCTTAATAATATCACAGGGACGATCTGAATGAGGGCATAACCGTAATTCCGCAGCAGCGCTCTACATCATCATGACGTGGAGGCCGGGCTGTCGCAAAACAGACAGGGGCGGAAATCATGGAACAACCGGGACGACAGAAAAACATATAAGATAGAAAGAAACAGCGAAGAGTTGCGGTAAAACCAGTCGAGACACGTTAGCGAATAGAGCATTAAGACCGTACTCGCACGTATTACTGTAATTATTTAACGTGAACCGCAGGTAAAAGGAAAAAAATCTTCATCGACCGTACGTATCTGCTTGCGAAGAGCCGCGTGGAAAACGGCCGACATATCGTTCGAGAATAAGAAATATATAAAGATTAGGAAGCGACTGACGATGGCTTCGAAGAGATATTGGAGCGAAAATATTCGACCATACTTCGGGCTTTATATTATTGAAAAACGATTTTCCGCAAAATGATACTCTGTATTATTCACTGTGCATGCGAAAGCATGTTGCGGATCTATTTAAATAATGTAAAGCTCAAACTCTGTGTTCACGGGATAATACGTACGCGGTATCTCAACCTTAGATGGTCCCTAATCATAATATCGATACAGTACGATATAGCTTTCTTCTATCACACGGCTCGCGATGAAAGTGTTAATCGAGCGCTGGAAGAAATCAAGTTTACAGAAAGCATCATCACACTTACCTCGACTCGCCGGCACGGCAGTCGGTCGATTTGATTCCCTCCCGCGTGGATAATCTGACGAAAGCGGGATGAATATGGATGGATTCAGGATTGAGCGCGTTAGGTGCATTTGATTAGCAGTTACTGTTTTATTTATATATGCCATAGCGTAACACTTAAAAAATACGTCGAAAGTACACTGAATCCACGGACAATACGCGTACGCTCCATATTCATTTGCCCTTCGTTTTCCTGCTTCCATCACATTACGTAATAATCCCCTCCCATCTCGATCCCACGATCATTATCGCGCTTGCTCTTCCCCTTTCTCTTTCTCTCGACACAACACCTTCACACTACGAGTCATCGAATAAATAACTACAACAGCCAGATTTATTAGAACGAGTAGGATCGCATTAAGTAGATACGTAGCATTCCCTTCCTTCAAACTCGAACCTAGTCACCGGTTCTTAAAAACTCAAAACACGATTCGATTTACACGATGTATCGCGCGGGCTTCATACTTTTCATTCCCTAACGATGACTCGTCGTTACCCGATATGAGCCGCTCGCGACAAATAACAACACGAAATCATGAACGATTGCAGATCTCGTGCGTAGATGGACGTGTGGAGATAAAAGTAGCGATTAAATTTTCTTTTATCCTTCTAAGTATATATATCTCGACGAAAAGATCGCGCGACATGCGTTCACTATTTGTCGTTAGGTTCTTCGCACTCTACTTACATTGACGTTATTCGTGCATGAATAACTTGATAGTCGCTTCGTATGGCGAATACCCGAGTAATTTTTATACAAACCGTTCAAGTAGCGCAACATGATATATAGTGACATGTCGGTTATCGAAGAACGGTGTCTGCCGCGATGTGTGTCTCTCAACGAAATTCGCGAGAATGTAAAAAATGTCGGACAATTTCCGAATCAAAATTTTCATTCTACATTAATCCTGCATATATCGTAGTATTTGAAGAATCAATGGAGAACTTCGAGATATGACACTATATAAACTATTGTTTCACTTTGATGCTACAAATGGTTATTTACTGCTATTCCCTCCATGTTGAAATTTGAAAAAAATATCCCAAAACGAGAAATTAAAGATTTTGAATATATACTCACATACTCTACTTGCAGTTGAATATATTGCGTGATTAATATATCGCTCATTGAAATGAAGAATATATAGATTAAATGCAGATAAAATATTGAGATAATCCAGTAATAAATGATTTTTAAATAAATGCTTCTTTACTAAGAGTAATAATAAATAATCATTTGTAGCACCAAAAAATAGTAGTTGTTATAATATTATACCTTGAAATTTTTCATTAGTCCTTTAAGTTCAGCAGAATTTGCATGCTTAATGTATATAGAACGAAATTTCCGTCTCGGGGGCAATAAAGTAAATCTTTCCGATCTCACGACCTTCCTCACACTCGCTCGCTCTTTTTCTTCTTTCTACAAAAAAGGCACATTATAACGAAATAAGATAGAGTTTTATGACCCTTCTTGCACTAGATACCTTTCTATTAGATTTAACACGTCAAACATCAAACGCATTTATTCTCCCATCGATCGTCTCAGCCGCGCAAAACGAACGACCGCTAAGAAAAAGAAAGAACAACAATTAACAAACACTTTCTTTTAGAGAGCTGGCTTCAACGGGGAGTTTGTCGCGAATAATAGGTATGTCAATGTGTGTATGTGTCTGTGTGTGTGTGTGTACTTATGAAAAAATATATATCACGAATAGTATATGTATATTTATATGTGTGAGGGCCGAATTAATCGCTCCAATGTTGACACCGATATCACCTAATACTTCATCACTCGCTCAGACTCGAAAGTACACAGACGCGTCTGTGACCACACAGATCTGCGCGAGCGCGTTCCTACCTATGTGAGAAAACGTGTGCCTCTAACAAATACACTTACAGAATAGATTACCGTTAGGATTAAGAGTTATTCCTTAAAAAAATATGACAACAATACGTGAAGTTTGCAAGATCGAGGGGGGACCTGCCGCGAGCACCTCTCGCGCAGCACGTAACGCTCGTGAGAATGTCGAATCGCTAGAAATCGTGTGTACTTTTAGCGATGCACACGAAACGGCCGCCGAATACTAGGGATTACTCTAACGAGACCGTACGGACATCAAAGTACGAGACGCGTACTATACAACATCACGGCGCCAAGCGCGGCATGAATAGCCTACAGTTCCCACGAGTTCGCCATCGAGCTCCTGAAACTCGCCTCGCGCGAAAAGAAGATGACGTCGCTCACGGGTGTGCGAACTGAGAGCCGTTTCCTCGGTAAATTCGGCAATCTAATTGTAGTCGGCCGGAGCGCTTTGTAGAGGAAACGAGAGATCCTCTCGGTCCTTCTAACGATCAAGACCGGTTGCGCCTTGGATAGTCACGGATCGATCCTACGCCGCGATACTCCTTGAAATTCTCACTCACGGCGCATTCTTCGTTTCCAAGTGGAACGCAGCTCGACGTAGCGCGTGTGTCACGACGTACCTTGCAAGGAAGCGTTTGTCATGCGTGTGAGGATGCAGCGCGTGCACTCGGTCGAAGTGAGCGCAGCGGTGTGCGTGTGGGGGATACCTGCGACAGACGCATGCTTTACACGCGACGTATACGCGCGTACAGTGCACACTGTTTAAGACGACTACTATGTTGACGGGTACTCGACGGTCTCAAGAGCTTCCGCCGCGACGAGGCGTCGCGAGGCTTCGCCGAGAAACGGTTGCGAGTTTCGTCGCGCGGAGAAACGAAACTGCGACGTTTTCGTACGTACATATGTATGCATGTACGTTCCATGCGCGTGTCTCGCGAAACGCAACAGGTCTCGTCGTGTAATTCGATTTGCCGGCTCGTACCGTTCCCCGGATCCTTCGGAATAATCAATGGCTGCGCTCTAATTGCGTTTATCATCGTATACGTAGGGACATCGAGAGCGAGGTGCCTTAAACTGAAATTGTGGATTTACGGTAATAAACGCTAAGATTCCAAAAATTATAGGATATCGGCGATTCAGTTTGCTGTCACGCCATAAATCGCACTGTAAAGTTGCCTTCATACACACGGACATCATCTGACACATCTGATGTAAACAAGGAGTCGTCTCGCATGTGACAGAAGAACCGACACGAGATATATATATATATGTATATCGTCTCGGGATGGCCGATTAAAAATCAATCGTCGGGAGGAGTCTGGCCAACGTGTACGAATATCCGTGAGAACTTTCTTCCCTCGCGATTTTTAAACGTGAGCGGCGATAAAAAAAAGGTGTTTTTACGTGTACGAGGCTCGCTGCTGTGTGGACAGTGGCGCGTCCGGGAAGGTGCACGGATAACAAATAAGATTACACCGATGTAATCACACGTATCGACGTGGACTACCGAATTAGTTCTAAATTTATTAAACCAGAAGCATATAGCTTCATATCAAGAGAAACCCGTATCCCGCACCAATCTGTATGAAACGAAGTTGGAAACGAGAAAGAAAAAAAATAGAGTTAGTTGTAAGATAAGTTCTTGAATGAGACCTTGCATTTATAGGAGAGCGCGGAGTCGATGTGTAAATTAATTCCTTCGTTACAAATTGAGTAAAGCGATGACGATAAATTCGACGCAGCACGGTGTGCATGCTCATTATTGAAACGCGAATTCATTTACGTTGGTGAATCATTAAGAGGCCTATGGTAATATCCAATCGGGCTATGCATCAAATTGTTACTCAGAACGTGTTTCGTGCGAAGCAAAAGGGACGGGCGAGAGAGGCACCGAGAAAAAGAAACAAGCAGAAGAGAATGAGACTGCATATCGAAGGGACAGTTTTTCGGTGCTCTTATTTGTAAATTAATTTGCCGCGAGCTGGAACGACCAGTTTTTCAGCCGCTGTTTTATTGGATCGCGTCGCACGACTGACACATCCGCCGATTTCGCGATTATGCGCGCGAATGCACTCGCGTTCGTATACGAGAACTTTTAATCATTGGGAAAACATAATGAGATGCCGATAATTCGTCGGATATAACGCGGAAAGGAAGAAAATTAAGAGACGAAGGAAAAATTCCAATGCGTATAAATAACGCGCGATCTCGACCGATTTTAATTAGCCCGCATTAACTGCCCGCGATAACGACTCCTTCGTTTCGCTCGGTGCAGAAAGAGTTCTCAAGTTTGTTCTTGAGCACCGAACGGTCGATATATATATATATATATATATATATATA